TATTGCATATAAATATGTTTGCTTAAATTTTAAGCATCTTAATATGCTTTTCTTCCCAATTTGTTCCTAAAAATTGAATATATTCCCTCGAGTCTAATACGTGGGGCCCTGTCTTCATTCCTTATTCTATCAGACGCCTTTTTTTTTATGAATTTTTTTGTGAACTAAAAAAAAAATTATCATGTAAAAATAAAAACTTGGGTATCATAAAAGATTAATTAATGACCACTAATTTGAAAAAATAAAATAAAAAATGTTGGGATATTGATTAATTAATGAATATTTTATGAATCAATGAATGTTACAACGTAAAGGGGCTGGCTACGGTGCCGTGCAGGCACTATTCCGTTAATTTAATCTCAGCCATTAAATCTTGTAAAATTGATAGAGACATTTAGAATGTGGTGAAGACCTATCAAACCAAAATGATGTGGCAAGTTTTATTGGTTCCGCTAAAATGCACAACGGCAGTTAAGAATTTTCTCAAATGGGAATTGTTGTCTACCCCAAATTATTGGCTTTAATTTTCAAAAAATATTCTTAAAAGTGAAACCTCTAATTATGGTTAATTAAACTGCAGCTAAATATAATTTAAATTATCTTCTTACTAGATAACTCCAATTGTAGACTTTACAAAAAGCCACTATTTTGGTGTCATGTTTGTAGTTTTGGGTCGAAAATTAAAACCATGAAGACGTGATAAATCTTAATTATTTGTTAATTAGTTATGTGTTTGATTAACATGATATATTGGAAACATGTACATTACAAGAAAATGATCAAGTTTCGCGTAGATATATTCTAATGAAATTTTAATAGTAATTTCAATAGATATTCTAATGTTATTACTTCTACTGATTTTTTTAATAGATTCCAACATAAATTCCAGTGATAATAGTTCGTTATGAATATTTAATTGAAATTTTTATTGAATTTGATGATGCTTTATTTCAAGTGGTTGAAACATGTTCCGAAATTAAAAAATTCAACGGAAATTTCTACGATGATAATTCGTTAGAATCATCAAATTTCAAGGGAAATTTAATTCCAACGAAATATTTTAGTATTGATTTCTGTTGGAATTTTTCAGCCATGCAATTACAATATCCATTCAATTTTTCATTGAAATATTTTTTATTGGGAATATGAAATGTTTTGGAGTGATAATTTTCTTTTCTCATATGTGCACATAAGCATTTCAATTAAGTAATGGAGCTTATTTATTTTACATTTTTAATCCTTTTTTGTGAATTTGACATTTTTGTCACATACATTTATAAAGAATTTTTTGTTCGTCGTGTTATTATGAAACATACATTTGCTAGTACAATACCTTGTATTATATGGGTATTGTAAGAAAAAAAATAGTAAAAAATGAATAAAATAATTTATATTATTACTTTGGAAATGATAAAAAAAATAAAATACAAACAATAATAATAAAAAAAAGTAACACAAAGTGATGCCGACGAGATTGCATTAGCATATCTCGACACATATGATCGACTCCAGCCTTTAGTATGATTATTATTATTATTATTATTATTATTATTATTATTATTATTATTATTATTATTATTTAGTTTATGCTTATTTATGTTAGGTTTGAGATTTTATTATTTTGTATTGGATTTGTAGTGTTTGGGCTTTTAATTTTTAGTGGATAGGACCTTGATGTAATATTTAAGGGAAATATTTACACATACTACATGAAATAAAAGAATTTTCATAGATGCAGTAAGGGGTGCAAATTCCTCAATATTTAAAACAGATGTGTATATGTGTATTGGCAGTTATGATTATTATGAATTGAACGAAGAAAAAAGAAATTGTTTTCTCTGGTTTTCTGAAGAAGAAAACTATATATCTTCCATAAATTGATACCAAATGATGCAGCAGAAGCTTATGGAAGATAGTTTTTTTCTTCAGAAAACGAGAGAAAACAGTTTCTTTTTTTCTTCGTTCAATTCATAATAATCATTACTGTCAATACACAAATACAGATCTGTTTTAAATATTACATCAAGGTCCTATCCACTAATAATTAAAAGCCCGAACACTACAAGTCTAATACAATATAATAAAAGCCCAAACATGACATAAATAATCATAAACTAAATAATAATAAAACTAGTACAGAGCCCGTGCGATGCACGGGGTGCACAATTTTAAGGTCATTTATCCATTCTTATAATTATATAAATGAATAAAAAAAATGTACGGGATATATATAGTACGTGACCTGTAATAGGCCAAAATGTAAACACGGGTGATGCACGGAGTGCACAATTTTAAGGTCATTTATTAGTACAGAGCCCTGCGATGCACGGGATGCACAATTTTTTAGTATGTGTAATAAAAATACATACCGTATGCACGGAACAAAAGCACTAAATGAGTCATTTCCACAGAGCTTGCCCGTTAAGTAGCTCCTGAACACGGGTGCACAATTTGTAGTACGTACCATAAAATCATAACAGATTTTCATACAATTAAATATTAAATTAGATAATAAATAAAGCCTTTTTATTTTAGTAAAGATTTTACGTATTTTGTTTTTTACTTATCGGATGTTATGAGATTTTTTTTGTTAAACCAATTTTATGGAATATAATACAAATACAATTAGAGGATTGAACAAAATTAGAACAGATTTTCATACAATTATATAATAAAAAGGAATTAGATAAGGAAAATAAGGAATTAGATAAGAAAACGAAAGAATTAGATAATGAATTTTGAATCTGACTTTTTTTTATATAGATAAACTTTACGTAAAAATTTTGACTTCACTAATTTTATGGGATTTATTTTGACAAAATCGATGTTAATATGGAATAAGACAAATAAATAAAGTCTTTTTATTTTGGTAAAGATTTTACGTCTTTTTTTTTACTTGTCATATGTTATGAGATTTTTTTTTCTTAAACTGATTTTATGGGATATAAGACAAATAAATAAAATAATTAAATAAAATTCTGGATAGAAATAGCAATGCATTAATTACGTTGACTTTTCAATCTACTAAATTTAGTAAATAGGATACCTTATATAATAAGTATAGATATAATAATAATAATCATACTAAAAGCTGGAGTCGATCATATGTGTCGAGATATGCTAATGCAATCTCGTCGGCATCATTATCCCTCGAGTGGCTAGGATTCGCCCTCGAATCTGCAATCTCGTCGGCGTCATTAAGTTATTCAAAACTGTAATTAATTTGTCAAAATGACATTTGTTTAATCACATCTATAAAGTCATATATATGTCTTAAACAAATATGACCTAAAACACAATAAATTGATTTTGAATTTTTCAAAATTTGTCCAAACGTAATATAGCGTAATTATATTTTACATTTCTACAATTATTCTATGTCATCTATCATTTTTCATTAGAGATGACGAGTTATTCTGATATTGCATGTTTACCAAACGTCGTCCTTTTTACTTTTTCTTCTTCATAATTTTTCCTTCTTTATTTATTTATTTATTTATTTGTTTATTAAGTATTGGACTGCAAGAGAAGCACCGAGTTGGCCTGATTTGACTCAGTGATAACAGGAATCAGATTCGTCTGGACCATCAGATTCTTGGACGTAGTTTACTTTTTAATCTTGTCCTCCGTCCGCCAATTTGTAGCAACCATACATGCTATTGGGAGATGATACGGTCCCGTTACAGAACTATTATATCAAGTTTGTAACCGTTAGATCAACTATCTCGAACGGTTACATGATTATCTAACGTTAGAAACTCCGACAAAATGATTCCTTAACCGAACCTAGCAGTTCCCCTTCCTTTTAGTAATATATGATTTTTTTGGTATAGATATTAATATTTTGCAATTTTTTTAATTAGTTGTAATTACAAAAATAACTGCATATAATTATTGTCACTTTTAGTAACATGAACTGAATATTATGTTATTATGTGAAAAAAGAGGAAAATAAAAAATAAAACTTATACTGATTTTCACAATAAAATTTCAATTAATGGTAATGACAAAGCATACACTAAAAAAACAGTAAGATCTTAGAAGTTACGTCCCAGTATGCAAAACAGCCCCAGCCCACGTTACTCTCGACAATCAAGCCCAAATGACATGAATACATATTGGGCTAGTTGTGAGCCCTTTGTTCTGCAGTGGGCTGATCTCTATATTTTGGAGAAGCCAGCCCAGTAAGGACGAAGTCTACAATGGGGTTGAATAGTACATAATGATAGTAATTAATTTGGACATTCCATTGCAGTGTGTAGGTTTGATTGATTGTCGGTCTTTTTGCCATATGCAGATCATAAACTTCAATTTGCTGTACTTCCTGAATATTCTAAAAAGTTTATACAAGTATTTGAATTTATAGTAATATTGGTCATTATGATTTTTAGCATAATGAGGGGTAAAATTCGATTAATTGATAACGATCAATTAATCGTTAGAATGCAAAAAGATAGTTGTTCATCGCATAAATGCCAAAGAAATAAATACAACAACACCACAATCTTCCATCGTCATAAGTTTGAATTATGCAATCTTTGATAGTCGTTCATACAACTCAATTAGAGATGTTTAAACGGGAAACCATGTTAGGACGTTGAGCTGAGTTCGGCAGGAACATAACTCCCCAAAAATACATCTGAAAAGGTTAAAACATGATAGAATTACGAATGTCCACACAATATCTACGAAAGGAAAAATAATCAAATGGGATGATGTAAAAAAACCTTCATTGTCCAAGACAGGTTTCGATATAACGAAAAAATATGAGGAAACAATGATAATCTCTACAAGCCAATTTGAGACTTTTATTTTAGCATTGATTTTATAATAATCGCTTTATGATTTAATAAAATCAAATTTCTTTTGGGCAGTCTGGAACAACTTTCCAAATGTGCCATTTTTCAGTGCAAAGGGTACTGCAGATAGAGATCAGTAATAAAAACGAACTTACCTGAATCGGGACTTATTTCAAAAAGATTGTGTTGAATAAGGTGGATTTAGAAGGACTTCTTCTCGTACGAAACCAACCCATGGACACCACCTTCTACTTGAGCTGCTCCAGTCCTAACCTGCCAAGCAGCATAATAATAAAAAAATAAAAATAAAAAAAAATATTAGTTTGAGGGATTAACTGCATTAAACGAAATTTTCAAAGTTCCGTTCACATGTCCCAATTAGTTAATTGCTAAAAGGAGAAAAGGGGCCAATCTCAATCTTTCAAAATCACACATTTTCCAATAGAGTGGGAAAATTTGAAGAACAGAGACAAACACCAATGATCAAGTGATACTTTCAATTTCAAGAAAATAATAAGGATTCTTCTGTACTCTAGGCTAGTTTTGGCCATTAAAACAAACCTCGAGTCTTAGAACGCCCGATCTTAAGAGATCGTGAGCTGACTGCAGGGAAGAAGCACCAAGATCTTGAAATCCCTGCTTTACAGCTTGCATTGTGTAGGGGATGAAGTTTAATACTGATCCTTTGTCAGCCACAGAACCAACAACCCCTTGAGCAATCTTCAACTTAGCTTTATCGCCCAAGTAACGAGCATCACTTCCTTTCGTCATTGCCTCTAGGGATCCCATACCTCGATACTTTTTCACTCTCTTACCACCCTGTTATTTGAAAAAAAAAGGATGAAAAAAGAGGAAAAAAAAAAGAAAGAAGAAGGAAAAAGGAAATATGATTAATAAGAGAATAATGTTGATATTAGAAGAACACACACATGTTCACCCCCGAAAAATTTCTTCATGAAGTCGACATCAGGAATATATGGATACTTGACAAGGATTATGTCATGATTGCAACATGGCAGAAGCAAGAAAATGGAAGGGGTGAACATGGGTGTAAAAAAATAAAAATAGCTGGAGAAAGCAGTATTATACTGGATGTCCATAATGATCTATCAGCCTTGGCAAGCAGATTACATGACAACAACTATTTTATCAGATCCTTAGAGGTCATCTAGACGAAAAGCAAACGATACAACCTACACAAACCCCATAAGGGTAATGCACTTTTTTTTAAAAAGTAAAATGGCTGCCGAACCTGATATACATAAGTTCCGGGAGCTTCATGGCTTCCAGCTAAAAAGCTTCCCATCATTACAGTTGAAGCACCCAGGGTCAAAGCTTTGACAATGTGGCCAGAATTTGAGATGCCACCATCAGCAATCACAGGCACACCGCTTTCAGCTGCAACAGATGCAACCTTGTAAACAGCAGTTGCCTGAAAAACCATAAAAATTAAGTTCATATGTCAGTAATCCCAAAAAAAAGGAAAAAAAAAAAAACACTAAACTGTTGTCATCATAAGTCAGTTCAACACCAACTTTCTTCTACAACCAAAGCAGATCAAGGTATCAATATAGCTTTCACTAATATTACTACAAATCAGATGCCTTAGGATAATAGCAGCCAAGCCATATATTCGCAAAAGTTACCTGCCCTCGCCCAACGGCACAAACTTCTTGAGTTGTGCAAATGGAGCCTGAACCCATCCCTACCCTCAATCCGTCAACCCCAGCCTGAATCAAGTTCTGTGCCTGGTATGCAGTCACCACATTCCCACCTATAACATCCAAATCCGGATACATCTTCTTCGCGTACTTGATCATCTCAATCTGGTAAATAGAATTTCCCTGAGAACTATCAAGAACCACCACATTCACCCCAGCTTTGACAAGATGCTCCAACCTCTCTTTATCCGTTTCCCTTGTGCCTATGGCTGCCCCTACCAGAAACTCCCCGTCGGGCCCCACAGAAGGCAGCCCCAATTTCGGAAAACCTCGAATGCTCTCGACATCAGCAGATGAGACTACATTCACTACTTCTTCTCCCTCCTCCCCGTTATTTCTAACCAGCGGCACAAATTCCAGCTCGTTTTTTGCTAAATAGCCCGCGACATCCTCGAAGCTGTACCCAGCCGGAAGAGAAACTGTTGACTTCTTCATGTACTCGGAAATTCTTTGGTCCCCCACGGATTCCATTTCGTCCCAATCGGATCTTGACACGGTTCCTAACAGCTTCGAGCTCCGTGTCCCGTCCTCCGTGACGAATAGGCAGGGAGCATCGGCGAAATCCTCACGCGATAGAATCGTGTCGGAGGGGGATTTGTAGACGATCTCGTGGCTGAAGGGGATTTTGTGCGATTTCGCGCGGCGGACCAAGGAGGTCTGGTGGGAAGCGGTGGTGTTGGAGTGGATGATCCCGATGGCACCGAGCGAGGCCATAGCGGCGGCCATCGAGGACTCGGTTACGGTGTCCATGGGGGAGGCGACGCAGGGGGTGGCGAGGGCGACGCGGCGGCTGAGCTTGGTGGAGAGGGAGACGGCGTCGGTGGGGAAGTCGATGTAGTGGGGGAGGAAGATGACGTCATCGTAGGTGTAGGAGTAACCCTGGCTGAAGAGCCTCACCGCCGGGAATCCGTCATCGAGTATCTGAGCTCCGTCCATCGCCGGCGGTATGGGGTTCAATTAGGGTTTCGCAGGTGTTAGCTTAGAAGATAGCGGCTAAGGGATGACTGAGCTGACTGAAAGACTGAAGGAAAAAGTGAAGAACGCCCACTTATTTATATGTACAAAATAATTTAAATTAGTTAAAGTAATTTGAAAAAATTGCAATGGAATAGTTATTAATCTAGTCTAATGAAGGTTCTTTCTTTAATAGAGTATTTGATAAAAAGTTCTGCCTATTTTTTTTTTATTTTAAATAATTATTCAAAATACTTATATTATCATTTATGTTTAAAAACACTTGTTATTCCTTTTATATTATAATATTTTTTCCTAGTTAATGTTATATAATAAACCTAATATATAGAGATATTTAATCATTATATTTTTAATTAATTTATTATCTCCCTATATATAATTCCAGAATGCGCTGAGCCTACGTGGCTGCTTCTGGTGCTTCGTAATCCTATTTAGCGAAGAATCATGTTTCGTAATTAGGTTTGGATAAATAATATTATATATTAATAATTAATAATCTTGGTTCGGGTATTCCATAAATATTATTTAGTTAACTTAGGTATTTTAATATCACTTTTACCAATATAACCCTTTAATTTTTTGTAATTTTACATAATGAGGCACTAAGTGACTAATATATCCCTGAATTTTGATTTGTTTCCTTCAATAAACTATTTAATTATAAATGTATTTTAAAAGTTGATAACTTTTGTATTTCTAACCGGTTTTACATATATAATATATCAAATTAATCATCTTTTGATGATCTTTATATATGAAATAAATAAATTATATTTATTTTTATAATAATAAAAAATAATAATATTTATTAAAATTTATTAGAAAAATAAAATTATTTCTCAATTGATATATTTATGTGTAATGTAGTTATATATTGTAAGTTAAAAAAAATTAGTATAATATAACACAAGTAAGTTGCACAAATAAAAAGTGTCATAATAAATATATAATAATATATATATTCTTATAAAAGGTATTTAAATTTTCAAACTACTCTTTCTCATTAATTTTATATTTTAAAAAAAAAAATTAGTAAGCACCCGTGTAATACACGGGTGTTGTACTAGTACATAAAATTACAGAACACCATTCTCTATACAGGAATCAATTTCAACTAGTTTTTACCGTATATTAATGTATTGACTTACTTAATATTAGAAATTAAGCCAACAAAATTATACTAGAATATAATCATAGTAACATTAAATTTGGAATTTATATTTACATAAAAACATGATATGAGTTTTATGAATATTAAAAAGAACCGAGACCGAATCGCAAGGGTACGGTCCCGGTTCCGAGACCCGCTCGATTCCGGCCGGGCCGGTACCGGGCAATCATTTGCCCTTTTCTTTCAGTCAGATCTCAGACCAAAAAATACTGTTACTATTTCTTCAGCATCTTCTTAAACATATTACTAGTCCAATTGATTTTGCATTTCATTTTCACCTTCGATTTTGGAGGGAAGAGAAGCCATGGATTCATCATCGCTGCTCTTCAGTCAGCTCAAGGTTCTAAACTCCATTTTTTCTCTGTACTTTTCTGTTTGGAAATATTCAGTTTAAATTCGGAAAAAATAAAACACGAATCACTCATCAATGTCGTTTCTGTAAAAGGCGGCGGAGCCATTTTTCGTGCTCGCAGGGCCGAACGTGATCGAATCAGAGGAACACATTCTCCACATGGCCAAGCACATCAAAGCAATCACGTCTAAGTATTCTGATGTTCATGGAAATGTTACTGTATTATCGATTTTTTTTTTTTTT